CCGCTCGTCTCCGTCAGGCCCAGCGCTTCCGCAGCAGCAATGGCTGTCGCGCCGCTCCGCGCGGCCCCAAGGGCAGCCACGTCCGCCCGGCTTCCTCTGCCTGCACAATGGCGTCGCGGTCGCTCGTCTCCGTCAGGCCCAGCGCTTCCGCAGCAGCAATGGCTGTCGCGCCGCTCCGCGCGGCCCCAAGGGCAGCACGTCGCCCGGCTTCCTCTGCCTGCACAATGGCGTCGCGGCCGCTCGTCTCCGTCAGGCCCAGCGCTTCCGCAGCAGCAATGGCTGTCGCGCCGCTCCGCGCGGCCCCAAGGGCAGCACGTCGCCCGGCTTCCTCTGCCTGCACAATGGCGTCGCGGTCGCTCGTCTCATCGCTTGATAGTGATTTAAAGTGATGCTGATCCATAGTATTTGTTGTGGTCGTACTTCTCGCGGAGCTGCTATTATGTAATTCGTTGAATTCGTGCGCCTTACTATGTAGAAGGGAAGGTGAAGTTGTTTGTCCCGTATTTATCGAAGTCCTGTTGTGGCTCTCCTTTTGTTGTTGGGTGCCTATGTCTGTGGTAGAGCCCAGGTTAACTGGTGCGAGTGGCGGGTGGGAACGTGCTGTTGTATGGCCGTTGTCTGCTTCCGTGCGGCGTTGTAGTTTTTGCCGCAGAAGTTGCTGGCGAAATTCTTCTAGTGTTGCAGGTGCGTGCCCGCTTTTCGTTTGTCGTGGGTGGATTGTCTGTTGCGTAATTGTGGTGTCGACTGCTACTTCCGTTGCGCCATTATTGTGCTGCCGCACCGCAAAGTCGTGTGGAAGGCGAGTGGTAGTGGACTCCGCCGCGACGTCTGGCTGTTTTTGCGCGTGCGGTGCGGCGCCGAATTGAGGATTCGACTGAGACGGGGGCTCAGTGCTCAGCTGCGGCGGAGGCTGTCGGCGGCGAGCCTGCTGGTCGGCGTAAAACTGTGCAATGAGTTCCTTCTCTGCCTCGTCTTCGGCGGCAGCGGCGGCCGGGTCAGGCGGTAGGGCGTGCGGCTGCGCGTTGAAGCCCGCCAGCAGACGCTGCTTTCCCTCCGCCACCAGCATCAACTCCCGGTCCTCCACGGCGCAGTGGCCCTGCGGTAGCCCCTCCGGCGCACACGACGCCACCCCGCTACGCCGCACATGCCGATCGAGATGCCGCTGCGTCAGTGTGGCCGAGCTGCTGCTAAAGACGCGGGAGGCCCTGCCGCGCCGGCCGCTCTGCACAGACAGGGAGCTGTTAAGGGACTCGCCCCCCCAGCTCACATCCGGGGTTCTCTTTGGGTCCTCCACCGCCGCCTTGTAAGGGACGCGTTCGTCGCGGTGGAAGGTGTCTGGCCGCGACCTGGACCAGTCCTGCGGCGGGTGGTGGACGCCGGACTGCCTCCAAGTGACGCGGGAGGAGCGCCTGGAGACCGACGTCGTCTCGCTTTGGCCCTCGCGTGCCTCACCGCGCTGGGGCTGCGGCGCCGCGGTGTCCCCCGTGCACGCTGCCTCTGTTGCGGTGCAAGTCGTGGCCCGCCGGGGACGTCATTTGACGCGGCGCGGTGCCCACGGCGGCCGTTTACTAAACTCTTTTGTCTGCTCTGCTCCGCTTTCTTCGTTTTGCTTTGCCGCCTTCTCCTTCTTGTCACTTCGTTTGCCAGCTCCTTCCCCTCCTCCCCCCTCCCTTTTTGTTTTTATTACTATGCCTCTCCCGCAACCTCTCCCCGCTGCAGACTCGCCGTCCGAGACAAGTCAGTGCGGCGCAGCGCGAGGTGCCCCGGCCCTCTCTCTCCACCCGCAGGAAATACAACGGCGACCAACGACAACAACAACAACAGAAAGACGCTGGGAAGGACGAAGAGATCGGCGGAAAAGCGAACACCCTTTTCACCACCGTTCATGCAATAAAAAAACAAAAAAGAGCAACAACAACCGCAGGCAGCTGGCCGCTGCGGCAGATGTCACGTTTGGGGGGCCTTTGGCCGCATGGCGGCGGGCGGGGGCGCCTGTGTGGCGGTGGCTTCGCCCCACGCAGCCACGGGAGGAGAGGCAAAGCAGCGAGGAGGCAATTGGAGGCAGGCGCAGCTGCGCCCGGCCCACGCACGCCGGCGCGGCGGTCTGCCCTGCGAGTCCACATCGCCGTCACAGCTAAAGAAAAGCGCGCAAGGAAAAAAAAAGGGAAACAAAACAAAAACGAGGGGTGGGGGACGGGAGGAGGGCAACGAAGCAGGCAAATTTTCCCGCGGCTCGCCCACTGCCACACGCCCCCCGGCCCGTCGCGCGGCGGCGAGGACGCAGAAGCAGAAAGCGAACTCAACTCGGCCTGTGAAGCCACGCACGCACACACAGACACATGCAAACACTCGCGCGTAGGGTGCCGGAGGCGTTTATTGGGCAACAGCGCGGCCGCAAACGAAAAACGTGGGCGATGGAGAACTCGGCGTCCTCGCCGCGAACCGCGCGCCTGCAACGAGTTTACTCGTCGCTGCATCTCCACGCAAAGCTGCCACGCCAGACGCTTCTCTCGCCCCAGGAGTGTGCACAAACACAGCGGCGCGGAGAGGGGCGCGGCGGGTGTGTGAGGCGGCAGCGCGGCCCCACCCACCCCCGATTACATCGCCGTGTCGGCGCAGCGGCCGCAAAAGAAACGAAAGGAAAAAGTAAACTGATGAAAAGCATAGTTGAAGCACTGACGTCATTTAAAAAAACACATGCACACCCTCACACACACACAAATAGTTACCACACGCTCTTTCTCCTTGCGAACACATCGTTTTTCCTTTTAACTCTTCTTCTCCTTTACGTACATTAGGACTGCGGCGCACGTCACTCAGGAGCACTCTCGCCCCCTCAGCAATTATATACTCCTTGGCGTCCGCGCGTACATTACATACTCACACACGTTCCTCTTTGCTGCCGTGCCGTCACCCTTTTACCTCAGCATTGTATCCACACAGGCATTTGCATGCGAAGTGACGCATGTGCAGAAAAGAAAAGAAGGAAGGATCGGAAAAGACAAGAAAAAGCAAAAAAAAAAACAAGCAAACAAACAAACATCACGCAAAAACAACACACACACACACATTGGCTCCTTCTTTTTTTTTTTTTGCTGCTGTGAGGGAGTTCCGTTCGCGACTGCGTCGGCGACTGGAACAAAGCCGCATATACACCGTCAGGGCACTGGAGCTCCAGTGAAGTAGGTGCACATGTGCGTGTGGGGTGCGCCGGCGGTGTTTGTTTGAGTAAAGAAAAGCAACAACTTTCCCTACCTCCTCCCTTGTTGGTTTGCGCCCTGTGCGGGAGGCAGGGCGGAGAGGCCCTGGCGGGTGTGCGTGCGTGTGTATAATAGCCACGCACCCTGCAAAACTGGAGACCACACGCAGCGAGAGACGCGTGGGCAGCGCAGCAGAAGAGGCGGCGAGGCCCAAAGAAAAACAAAGACAAAAAACTAAAAAAAGCAACAACAACATAGTCTCAGCTCGCCACTTCTTCCCACACACCACTTTACATACCTTCTCTCTCCCCGCGCGCACATGCGCCGTTTTGCTCTGCCGCCGCTGCAGGCCACGCAGGTGAGGCTGCCGGCCGTCAACGGCGGCGTGGCGGCGACGGCGCAGCGCGGCGGAGAGACTCCCCCGCCCACCGCCTGCGTTTTACACGGAAGAAATGGAGAGGTCCAAATTTTCCGCCTCCTCGGCGCTGGCGTCGCCAGCCTGGGAGGCGTCCACCAGGGCGTCGTCCGCGTCGAGGGGGCAAATTTCCTCCACGGCGCGTATCACCATCTCCATCCACTCGACGTCCCACGTCACGGGGTGGTGCAGCACCTCCTCCGCGGTCATGCGCTTCTGCGGGTCACGTTGAAAGAGACTTTCCAACAGCTCCACGAGACTCTCCGGAAGTTCGGCCTTTTCGGAGCCCAAAAAGGTGGTACTATTGGCAGTTATGTACGTCACTGCCCTCGCACTGTCGCAGCTCATGCTACTTTGAAATTTGGTTTCCGCCGTCGCCTGCTTCTCACCGGAGGAGAGGCTTTCCTTCGCGTTGACGGAGGCCATGCCACGCCGCCACGTGGAGCTCTCACTCCGCTTGCTACAAGCGTCGTGGCAGGCGCTTTTCATGGCCCCTAAAAGCATCTGCGCCGCGGTGGTCCCAATGTGGTGCTGCAGCTTCCCACCCTTGTAGTTTGCCACGGTGATGGGCAGACTCCCGGCCTGGGGGATGGACGTGTACAACTCCACGAGGGCAGGAAAATGTAGCCCCTGCAGGTGACCGAGGCGAAGTCCAATGATTTCCGCCAGCAAACAGCCAAAGGACCACATATCGCACGGTCGCCCGTACGGTTCACCCAACAACACCTCAGGCGACATATACGCCAAGGTGCCTTTCATGTTGACAAGCGGCTTCGCGGCGCACTCCTCGGCGGCGGAACCAAAGTCGCCAATCTTTGCCACACCACTACTGAAGAGAATATTGCACGGCTTTATATCGCGGTGTACGATGCCCTTTGAATGTATGTAGGCAATACCGCTCGCGACGTCGCGGAGAACTAGCACGATCTCCCTTGCAGTAAGGGGTTCTGAAATTTTAATCAGTTCATCGGGATCCGTCTCCGGTCGATTACTCATGCCTGCCGCTGCCTGCAGTGGAAAGGAGGCGCCGTTTGACAAACGTGGCAGCGGCGGCTTCTGAAGTCGCGGTGTGTCTTGCTGCATCATCGCAAAGCCCCGTTGCAAGCGCTCCCTCAAGGTGCCGTCGCACAGCTCCATAAATATACAGTAGGCGTTGTCCTCCATGGAGGAGTGGGAAAAGCTCACGATGTTTGGGTGGTCTAGCTGGCTCATGATCAGCACCTCGCGATTCAGCTGCTCCAGGAGGCGGTTGCTGGCTCCGTTGAGAAACATCCGCTTCATCGCCAGCCGCCCCCGTGAGACGAAGAGGTAGACCTCGTACACGTCGCCAAAGGCGCCGCCGCCGATTTGACGGACAATCTGGTAGCTCTTCCGCCAACGAATCTGCACCATCTCCTGCCGCAGCCGACGCTGCCGAATGTAGAGACTTAGGTTTTGGCCAATGGTGGGATTCGTGAAGATTTCCCCAATGTCGCGAAGCCGCAGCACCGCCTCATCCGGGGTCCCGGGCGGAAGTGGGAGGGAGTACGTGTCTTCATTCAACAAGTACAACATCGTCGTTTTACTTCCCGCGTCCTCGACGATGAGCTCGCGGATTTCCGGCGTCACAAGCCACTCTGACCACTCAATGAACACCACATCAAAGGCGCCCATGCCGATAAGCAGGTACCGCTTCATCGTCGCCGGGTCGTTCACCACCGTCGCGGAGTGCCCCCTCGTCCACAGATTCTGCACCACATCCTCTCGATCCGCCTTTAAGTAGAGGAAGAAGTGCAGATAGCGCTTATAGTAACTGGTAACCTTGGCGATAAGGGGGCCGTGACTGGAAATACTTGTCGCCATCGCGTCACTCCAGCTGCGGCCCAAGGACTTACCAAAGACGTTATCCACGTGGGCGAACGCGGAGGCGGAGGGCCACTCCGGCGTCCCTGCCTGATTGGTGTCAAACCCCGACCTTGACTCCAGTGCCGGCACCAGCGTTGCTCTGTTTGCGACGGGGAACGTCGTTTTGGAGTGCCCACCACTGAAGACATGAGGCAGCCGCGTCACACTCTCCACCGAGGACACGGACAATTCATCCACAGAATGAACTAACGGGACGGCAACAGCTCCCGCGACGCCACTGCTGCCATCGGGCTTGGAAAAAAATTCCGTTTTTACATTCGAGGGAGCACTTGCGGCGTTTTCCTCGCTCTTTCGCACTGACCCCCGTTTAGCCTTGCGCACCGCCTCAGAAAAGGCCTTTTCTGCTGCTGCGTACTGGTGCAGGTGAATCGTCTTTCCACTTGACTGCGCCGCCGCGTCCTCGGTCAGGGCGTTTGTGGCGGTCACACCAAACAGCGACAGCCCTCTGAGGGTAGAGAGCTGCAAGGTGCCGGCGTCCTCCATGAGCGCCAGTCGCTCCTGCGTGGTGTACGGGAAGCGCAGTGTGCATCCGCTGGCCGTGAAATGAATGGTGGCGTCGCAAGCACGCAGGTACTCCAAGAGGTTTGGGGAGAGCAGCGAGTCCACCCCTGCGTCGTACAAGGAACTTCGTTGGCTTTCGCCTTCAGTGGCGCCAGAGCCAGGCAGCGGGAGGGAGGCCGCGTTCTCCAACGCCCGACTGTTCCTCTTCGCGAGCGGCACACCATCGACGGTCCGCAATTCAAGAAGGATAAACATATTTTCGGCATCCACGACACAGTTGACACGCTTGTACCGTTTCAACACCCGGTTAACAAAGATCATGAGGGCCACAAAGTTAATCAGAAAGGACTCCGGCACCCGCGGCGAGAGATCGGCCGTGCGAACACCAATCAGACTACTCAACTTCTCCCGTAGCTGCTGCGCCGTGATTTGGTCTACGGAGTGGCCTCGCTCCGCCGAAATGGGCGACGAATAGCCTTTTATCGTAGAGCGGCGCTTGGCGCGTCGATGCCCGCCTGGCGCCGTCCGTGAACTGCGCCCCCGCTGCGACGTGCCGGCCTGGGAGTCCGTACTATCCGGCTCGCCGTCGTTCAGCAAGGAACCGCGGGAGTGGGAAAGGCTGGGCGTCACAGCATTTGCCGTGGAGGCCCGCTTCTGCATTGGATCGTTGAAACGGTCACCCATTGTGGACTCCTGAGCGGCCGTCGCCTGCGGCGCGGACACCCCGCGAACGCGGCTGTTGCTGAGCCTCCTCGAGGCGTCGTCCCTCGCCTCCTTGTTGATCTCGCGCAGAAAGAGCAACACCAGGTACATCTTTTCAGTGGATTGGGGCAGGGTGAGCGGCTGCCCCGGGTCACAAAACGAGGAGGGCAAGGTGACGTTGTTAATGCTCATGGCATACACGTCAAAGTGGCCTGCGTCCTGCAGCGCCCGCGCCGTGAGCAGCTCCTCCACACCGTTTTCAAAGAGGCAACGCAGGTCGGCAATTTTTTCCACGGATTGACTCCTCTCCCACTGGCCCTGCTCCTTCGAAGGTGGCGATGGGACGAGAATAAGGCGCTCCTTGGAGCTCCGCCGCTGCCGCTGCGGCAGTGCCGGGAGTGCGGAGGCCATATTTCTGCCCTTATTTCGCCGCGACTGCGACGAACTTCTTGGGTTGTGGTACAGACCAAAGACGTCCTTCAGCTCCTTCCCAGCGAGATCCGTCAGCCACCGATAGTGCAGCAGTTCAAGGGCGGGGAAGTTGCAGTAGACGACAGGGTACCTGTCTCTCGTCTCCATGGGCTTGAAGCTCTCACCTGACGCCCTGGCGCGGGGAACGTATTCCACAATAAGCAAAGGGCAGACGCAGTCCTGTACATTTTCTGTCAAATGACGACAAATCCTTGCGGTGCGGTCTGCTTTTTCATAGGGGGAGAAGTCCTTGTATTTGTCGGCGACGCCGCTTGGGGCCTCCGTGAGCAACTCTTGACGCTCCCGCTCCGCCTGCCTGCATCGAAGGCGAAGTGAGCCATCCTCTTGGCTGGCCTCCTCTTCCTCCTCCTCGGCGTCTGCGTCTGCGCCCGCCGCCCCAAGCGGTGGCGACGGCGTCTCCACTTCACTCTCCACGAGGTCGGGCAAAGCGGCCTTGGACCCGGCGTGGCACCCCGCAGGCGGTGCCGCCACCGGAGACGCACAGAGCGACTGATCGTGGCGGGCCTGACTGTACGGCCGCCACGCCGGGCGGAGGTCTCCGTCAGAGACGCCACCGCACGACGGCTTTGCGTATTCCTCCCCGCACGGAGGGTGCGTTGCGGGGAACTGTGGGTGGAGGTCCTTCTCCACCACGACGGCGTTTCGCACAGTTAAACTCATGCCATTTTCACTCTCATCCTCGTCTTCTTCCTCGCACTCGTCCCTCTTGTTGCCGACGACGTCATTGGTGCCGAAAGGGGTTTGGCCGGTGCACCGCACAAAACACGCGGACCCCTGCAAGCAGAGCGCCCGCAGGGCCGCGGCGCGGGCAAGGCTGGAGGCGGCGGTGGAGAGCAGGATGAGGAAGACAAGTCCCATTCCCAGCAGCAGCAGCAACTGCAGGGCGGAGAGAAAAACGCGAACGGCGCTCATACTGTAGTGTGGCGGGGACACAGTAGCGCAGTTACTGCCCAGGAGAACGCCGGGGCCCGCAGCGCGCAGTGCGTGGAGGTCCAAGAAGAGTTGCACCACAGGGACTCCAGCCACAATGACGAAGGCTGCCAGCAGGGAACGCAGCCCGGCGGTGGAGAGAATAGCACGCACGTCAAGTCCTATTCGCCTAACCAGCGCAGAAAAGGCCCCGGGCGCGTCGGAGATGCCATAGCCGTCACACCACCCGTTGCTGAGTGGAGTCGCACGGAGACGGTCGTCTCCCTCGACCTCCTCCGCCTCCTTCGTGAATGCCACCACAGCTGAATTGTATGCAGCCACCGTCTTTCCACCGCCGCGCAGCTCCACCAGCGCTCCCTCCACGTGGGCAGCGACGTCGTCCAGCGCCGCCACGAGTTCAGGGCAGTCGGAAAGAAAGCCGCCATCGCGGCCAAAAATACCCGCAGCGGCCTCCCAGCCTTGCAGGGCCGCAAGCAAGTTGGCGAAGAGTTGCCTATTTTCCCCCATTTTCTCACACAAACTCAGACTAAGACTACGAAGTTGGTGCATTGCCAGCAGCACACGGCCTTTAACAAGCATGAAACCGTTGAAGAAATCCTGCGTCGAGAGCGCGGCGGCTTCCTGACCACCAGCCTTTATTTGCTGCATCGACAGGCTGGGGCGTTGGCAGCAGAGGAACTCCATCGTCAGCGTCAGAAGTCGAAGCAGCTGCACGTCAGAAAGCAGTGCGGCGAGACGCTCAGCGGCGGCGGCGCGCCACGGCGGCGCAGCAGCAAAGCCAAAAGCGTCGCATCCCTGCGAGGGGCCCTCACAGTGCCGTTTCCCCGCAAACCGCATGACGCGCGGTGCAGGCCAGGCACAGAAACGCACAAGCAGCGACAACCCCTAGCGGAGGAACCGCAATTCCGTCGTCAGGAGAACGTGGTCGCACACCCACAGAAAGAGAAAATGCGGAGGGACCGATGACTCAGAAGGAACGAGCAACGCACAGGAGCCCCCCCCCTCCTTCCAAAAAGAAAAGAGGGTAAGCCGATGAAATGATACCAACCGGGCGGCAGGACCACAGAACACAAAATTGATAGGATACTCGAGAGCAATGCCACCCGTTATCGATTCAGCCTTTTTCTTTCCTATGCAGTCTTTTTTTTTGTTTTTGCGAGGGTTCCGCCCTTGCGCCCCGTTAGGGCCCTTATTCCCTGTAAGCCTGAAATATATATATATATATATCGGTTGAGGTGTTGCACAACCAGCGCCCAATGGTCTTCGCTTCCCTTTCCTAGTGAAATATATATATATATATATGCCTACGTATGCACGTTACTTCTGGCCTCTTTTGTGGCCCGCTTCAAAAAACGAAAAAAAAAAAAATTCGTGTGTGCTTTGTCTTCCCCTCCTTGAGCCCCTTCTTGCTGCCCGGTTGTGAATTGCGGCCCCACGCTGCAGAGTGCGGGGAGGGGGCGCCAGCGCGACACGTCAGTGGGGAGGAGAAGGAGCAAAGGAGAAAAAGGCAGAGAAACAGACAGAGAGAGAGAGAGAGAGAACTGGAAAGGGAGGGCGCGCGGGAGGAAGACAAACACACACAACAAAAAGCCGTGCGCTGGTGGCACCGTTGAGTATCCACCGCCACCGAGGACAGCGCATGCATTAGTCTTACGTGTAGCAAAAGAAAAGGAGAGACCACATTGCAGACACGACGAGTGAAGAGGGAGAGTAGCACACGGCGAACACAACGCATCTCTTGCGTTTCTCCCCGATTTCACTATTTGTATGTATGTGGCTGTTTCCGAGGATGTTTTTGTTTTTGTTGAGCCTTATTTTCTCTTCCTCTTTCCCCTCCACTTCACACACACACACACAGAGAGGGAGAGAGGGGCCCATGAGCGGAGCCTTGTGACGGGGGAAGGGGGAAGAAGGGGGCGAGGGCACACGCGGAAGACAAACCAACTAAACAGCGGGCAAACGCACACGCACACACAAAAGGGAAGGCAACTGCATCTCAAGCACAACTTATTTTACGCAGACGCCAGTGAAGCTGCGGTCTCCTGAGCAGACGCGGCGGCGGAGCTCGTGCTATCCGTCGTTTCCTGACGCTTTTTCTTTGGGCGTGCCACCTTCCGCGGGGCACCAGGCGCTTGAATCACCTGCTGCTGTTTCCCCTCTGCCTCGTCGGCGGCGGGCGACAGGGATGCGCCCAGCGCAGACCCCAAACCCGCTCCTCGTCGAGCATCGATTTCCGTGGGTGGGCGCAGCCGGAACCTTCCAGTGCGGCGCGGACGTGGGGTGCCTCGGTTGTACTGCAGCGCTCGAACCTCGTCGCTCGTCATGGACTGCAGCGCCGCCTGGCCGAGCAGCGACTGCTGCTGAAGCTCCTGCTCATCCGCGTCAAACGGCACATCCTTGTCGCCAGACAACGCGTACTCCCGCAGAAGACTTTCCGTGCCAGCGAGACTTAAAACCTCAAAGGAGGCCTCGGATGGGAGGTCCTTGCTCAAGGAACCTCGTCGTTCCTGGTCTCTCCCGCCCTTGAGCGACGCTGCCCGCTGTGGCGTCGCCTCGGTTGCCTTCGGCAGCGAGTCCGTCAGGTCATCCTCGCGCTGGGGCGGCATCGGTGGACGCCGCGGGTAAGAGCGCCTAGGGGAGGCAAACGTGGTGTGGACCTCACTCTCGTACTCCTCCGGCGGGGGCGGTAGTGAGTCAACGCGGCGGCGGATGCCTGCGGCCTCGCCGCCGCGCCGCGCCTCAGTTGCCCCTCCGCCTTCTTCGGCGGACGGCGGCGGCGATTTCGCGGGTGACGCCGCGTCAGGGAGGACAAGGCAGGCGGACGCCGCGAAGCGGCCACTTGCGACGTCCTCTACGGAGAGTGTGAAGTGCTGCACCCAGTCGGGGTCTGTGATGACGGAGGGAACCGCGGACGTCTCAACAGGGCGCGGCTGCTGCTGCTGCTGCTGATCGCTGCTGCTGTTGCCAGGCTTCGCCCGGCTCTTCTCCCGGTGCACCTGCACGAACGCATCGTACGTGGTTAGTACCTGCTCGCGAGACACCGCCGCCCAATCACACGCCTCGGTGAACTGAAAGAGCGGTCGATAGTCCGCATCTGCCGCGGCATCCAGGCTACGCTCCCAGAGTTCAATGGCCTTGTAGAGGTCCTCACCCTCAAGCTCTTTAATTTGTGGCTCCTGCGTCATTGGCGCCGCCGCCGCGCCGCTGGGGCTCGCGGCGACAATGTCATCCAACACCGTTGCGGCTGCGGGGAGCATGTCACGCTCGCGGGCCTCTGCAATCTTCGCCGCCTGCCGTATTTGTTGAAGGATGCCAAGCTCCATCTTCGCCTGCGCCTCCCGCTGCTCCTCCATGCTATACGGCACCTCGACAAAGGCGTACACAGGACGACGAAACGACCGCTCATGCGCCGGTCGCCCCTCCGCCGGTCGCCACCAAACGTTTAACTCGCTCGTGCTTGCAACATCGGTGGGGCGAAGCAGGCCATTCTTTTCCTGGTCCCAGCGACTCGCAAGGAGCGGGTGCGTCTCCGCGAGTGACGCAGCTCCACCAGCGACGGCTCCGGCGCTGGCGCCCTCGGCAACGCCACAGTCACCACCACGTGCATCCTGCGAACGCTGCGGCTGCGGCTGCGGCTGCCGCTCGAGCGAGCAGCGCGGGCAGCCCTTATCCGCCACCGCGCGATCCCGCACGGAGGCCTGATAGCTCTCCCCGCACGCGGCGCACCGCCACCAGACGGAGATTTGACTGGTGCACGGCACCGAGCTCACATCCGCGTCGTTCAGCTCCGGCACCCATTCGTCCACCAGATCCGGACGAACCACCGCCAGCCGGCGAAGCTGCGGCTCCCACCTGCCCGCGTTCGTCGCCCTCGCGCTGCTTGCCGGGTGGCTCGTCGATGCCCGGCGCACGCTGTGCCCGAGCTGCAACGCCAGCAGAGACGCCACTCGAGGCGGGTGATGTCGCGCGAGGGGCCACCAGGCACCCACGCAGTGGGATGAAAACCCCCCCACAACACCCGTGCGATAGCGCAGCAGCATCACCTTTCCCCCCTTTTTTTTCTTTTCTTTTTCGTTGGAGTTTCTAACTTCTCTCCGTCTCACGTGTGTCCTTCCGCCCCCTTGTTTCGGAGACGGCAATATGACTAGTAGTATTTGTGCCTCGCAGTGTGTGCTCCCGGTCGTGGCCGCGCAGAAACGCAGTGAAGTGGTGAAGAGCAGGCAAAAAGAAAGGAAGACGTGCAAACAAACAAACAAAACCCGTGCAGGGGCATAAGGGCCTCCTCACTGCCCTTCCCCTCGCCGCAATGCGAAAGAAGGAAATAAAAAGAAGAAGCTAACGGCCATAGGATCCCACCCATCAGTCGCTGTTACTCATTCTCCATTCCTCTCGCTCTGTCTCTCCCACTGTTTTTTTTTTAGTATCGCCGCGGCAGAGTCTTCTTCTTCTTCGCCGCCGACGCATTTGGCGCTCCCTTCGTGCGTTTACTCGTGTCCAGTGATTGACTCAGCCCACCTTTTCCCACCGGCCTCTCCCTCTTCTGGTGTTGCTGCTGCTGTTTGCCGCGGCGGTGTTGCCGTGCCGCCTGTGCTGCGGCGATGGCCTCGACGTCGTTGAGGAACGCTGGCTCCTGCGCGGCGAAGTAGTCAAACGGCGCACCCGCCGCCTGCGCCACCGCCGTTGTGCGCAGTGCCGTCGTTCCATCGGCGGCGGTCACGTAGCGCTCGGTGCGCCTGCGCTTCGCCTGCGGTCCGCCGCGGTCCTCATCCCGCTCAGCGGACGCCGCCGGGAAGCTGAGCGCGGGGTTGAAGAAGCCACCGTGCGCCGCAGTGGTGAGGCCCCCGCCGCCCTCTGCGCCTATCGCGCTCGCCTCGCCCTGCTCCTCCAGTTCCACCTCCTCGCGCCGGCGCGTACGACCCGCCGTGCGTGGGGCCACGACGCTTTCTCTGCCCTCCCCCCGTCCCCGCGGTGCGGCGGGTGCCGGGGGCGGGAAGCGCACTTCCGACACCCACATCTTCACGGCCTGCAGGGGCGCAAGTGTGCGCGGCTGCACCGCGGCGGAGGCGCACGCCTCGCAGAGGGCCTCTAACCCTGCTGTGACCATGCCAAGCGGCTGGTACGCGCGTAACTCCTCGCGCTCCGCCTCGCTGACGACGTCGTGCAGCAGAATGTAGTAGCGACTGCCGTTTGTGTTTGCCATCCCAACGTTGCCGAGCAGTAGCGTCCCCGCGCGAAGCTGCTGCATGCCGGCGGCGGCGGCGGCGGCAGAGGAGGAGAAGTGGGGCGTGGTGGTGCCCAGTGGCGGCTCGTCCGCAGTGAAGCCGCCAAAGATGGTCTTCGTCGTGCTACTGCCGATCTCCATCATGACACCCCTCTCGATGCGCACCACGGCGCTCTCGGCGAAGGGCTTCAGTCCCGTGGTCTGCAGCTCCCCGCCCGTTGCGAGCGCCGCGAGTTCACCCGGCGCCACGCCGCAGCTGTCCAGCGCCGCGCCAGACGGCAGCTCGCCGGTGCACATGAAAAGGAAGTTCAACACCGCCTTGGGCCGCTGCGCCGGGGCCGGCACAACAACACTCGCCAACACCTCGCATGGCTCCTTCTGCTTTTGCCTGTTGGGAAAGCGGAAGTTAAACGTAACGTGCATCCAGCACACACACACACACAGAAGCAACCACGCGCGGAAAAAGGTGCCCCTCGTAAGTCCTTCCCCACCACCGCTCGCAGAGCGCTGCCTCCATGCGGCAAAGAGAAGAAGTAAGGGGGGGAAAAAAAGATGCGCTCCGAGTGGGCTGCCTCGTGCAGCGAATAGAGCAAGACAGGAGACATGCCGATTACACACACACACACACACACTGCAAAGCGCTCAGATTTTGCATTCTTTGATTTTTTCTTCTTCTTTCCCTTCACCTTGGCGCGTGCTCTCTCTCTCGTCCTCTATTCCTCGGCGCCGATCAGACACTTTGTCAAAAGGGGCACACGCACACACCCACGCAGGGCAGGATAAATAAACAAACAGACTCAATGTGAAACAGTCTCTTCGTAGCGTCTAATTAGTTTCCTCCTCCTCATTCCTATGCGCTTCCAGCCGGCTCACCCGCCTCGACGGGCCCTCGCTGGCGTCCGCCGCCGCCGCATCCTCCTCCTCCCCACGACTGCGCTTTCGTCCCGCCTCCTTTGCCTCGCCCCCGCCTTCACCTGCGGTTGGGGTGGGGTGGCTGCCCACGGAGAGCTCCGCGTCGTTGACGCGACCGCCCGTGGGGGGAGTTGACTCCTCAGCCGCCTCCTCGTCCTGGGGGTGGCGGCTGCAGGCGTCGCTGCCTGCCTCGTCGGCGCCATCCGTTGGGGAAAAGCTGCGCGGCTCGCTGCGATCGCTTGCCACCTCCTCCGCTTCTGCCGCCTCTTGCGGTTCCCCAGCGCCCTGCTCCTCCGCATGGTCCATGGGAGTCCCGCTTGCGTAATCCTCCTCCTCTTCTTCCTCCTCCTCGTCTTCGTCCGCGGCTGCCGCCACCACCTCCTCAGCGTCTGCAGAGTCATCCTCGACGCTCTCTTCGGCCGGCAGACCCGCCACGCCGCCGCCAGCGGGGGCGACGGGTTCCGCGCCACCTCGCCGTTCAGCAGCTGCCATGTCCTCCAAAAGAAGCGCGCGAGTGTACGCCTCCCGCGTCTTCCAGAGCTGGTGCCATGCCTCTACCTCCTTTTCCACTCCCTGCTCCCTCGGTTGGCCCGCCGGCATGCAATGCCGCGCGAGCAACGTGTCCAGCCTCTGCTTCATGCGGTGCTGATTATCTGTCAGCACCTTCAGCACCGCCGTTGCTGAGGCGTAGCAGGTGGAACTCCGCACGGCGTGTGGAGCAATGGCCTGCATCAGCCACTGCGTGGCGCACAACGTTGAGGGAAAGGCAGGCGTGTTCTTTGTGAGACGCTCCAGCACAAGGAAGGCGTTGCGGTGGAGGAAGGCAACGTCACGCTGATGCAGAAGGATGTGCACGAGCGCACGGCACAAGTAGGCGTCAAGCTGCGTCGTGAATGCCGGGACGGCGTCTTGCAATTCCTGCACCGCGTCCCTCCCACCAGCGGACTCCGCTTCTGCCCGAGACGCGCCTCGTGGCGCGGCAGCGGCAGCCACCGTCGCGTGTGCAGCAAAAATAGTCGCGAGCGCCCGCGGCTTTGGCTCCAGCAGCGCCAGCAACGCCTCCGTCGTGAGCGTCGCGGGGGGCGAGGCGAGCTCCGCGACTCCACCCGCGGCGGCGGCGGCGGCGGCGGCGCTGCCCACAGACGGAAGGGAGGGGACCTCCACAACGGTGTCGTGCAGGGCGGCACGCAGCAGCGCCAGCAGCAAACCCACCCGCTTGCACTCGCCGTCGGTGAAGCCGACGAAAAAAGTCATGGTGGCGGTGATCAGGGAAAGCGCAACGTCAACGACGCGGTCGTAGTCCGCACTCACGCCCCCCTCGCCGCCACCGGCTGCTTTACTGGTGTTCAGCAGCCACTTCATAAAGTGGTACACAAACAGCGTGTCCTCCAGGCTGAGGAGGGCGCGTGGAAGCAGGTAGGAGGTGGCAAACGCCACAGGCTCGGAAAGCACCCCGCTGCGACGCAGCTCGTCACGCAACTCCTCCCGTGCCGCCTCACAGTGCTGGTACAGCGCTTGATGGGCCTCCTTCTCCAGCCGTATCTGCCGCGTCTGCTCCTGAAGCCAGTGAATAGAAGGGTCGGTGCTCAGCCTGCTGCCGGTGCTGTTGTGGCTGTTGCCGCTGCCTCCGCTAGGCTCACTGCCGGTGTTCGTATTCGCTCGGACGAGGGCGGTGGCGTGCGCGTAGAACTGGTTCACCTCCTTCGACGCCGCACTGTACACGGATTCATCAAACACAAAGTGAGCTGCTGTGTAGTGGGACAGTGTCCTTAAAATTGAAAAGGGAATGACACCATCCATTGCCTTGACGGAGACCGCGGTTTCCACATGGTTCATCACGTCACACGGTGTGACATTGAAGAGAGCGTCGACGCTTGAAACCGGTTTCCCATTGGACGCCGTGCGCTGCGTCTCCTTTGCGGCAAAGCGGGCCGTGAGGCGTAGCGCAACGTGTGGCATGGCAACCATGAAGATTTCCTCCTCTGGCGGCCCCTGCGGGAGTAGTGTCTCCATGCAGAGCAGCAGGTCATTGACCACATTGTAGTCCCGCGCACAGGTGAGAAGCACAATCTGCATCGTCCCCGCCAGATCCGCCTGCACCGTGTAGATTCTGCTGTGCAGCCGGCAGAGGTGCAACAAGAGGCACTGCCCAAGCGTAAAGTTGACGGTGGCGGCGCCGGCTTCCTCGTGTTGCTGTCGCGGCGGTTGTTGCGTGTTCGTCTCGCACGTGGCTTCCGCCGCCTCCACCGCCTCGGTGTTCTCAACCGGCACATGACACGTCTCCTGCAGGGCCCGTCGAAGCCGTGCGGCGGCGTCGCCCAAGAGGGCAGGGGTGAGAAACGTGTCCCAGCGGCCGCGACGGAAGGACTCGGCGGCGCCTCTGGCAAACCACTGCGTCGTGGGCGGGGCAAGAAGCGCCTTTGCCTGCGCCACGCTGTACTGCTCCTCGTGCTCGAGGGTGCGGCCGAGCATCTCATGCAGGACGGACTGCAGCAGCTCCAGACCAAAGACGATCGAGGCACGGGCCTCCCTGCGCAGCGCGTACTCCGCCGCCCGCAGCAACACACCACCGTCAAGACTGTGTGGGTTGTCGCGCCAGAGCACGGAGAGAAACGTTGCGACGAGGCCCACGCGGTTTGCGTCCGCGGTTCCAACGCGCTCCGCCTCCGCGTAGCGCCGCATCACCGACAGGCCTTCGTGGACGACGAGTGTGAGGATGGCCGCCGGAGCGCCCTTCAGCAGCTGCGTGTGGACCTGCAGGAAGTTGTTCCCGTACCCCACCGCCTGCTGAAAGAGCTTCTCCGCCACCAGCAGCGGATTCGCGTAAATGGCGGGCTGCAACACTTTTCTATACTGAGCCACATTCGACTGGGTCATGCGCTTTAGCGATTGCGCAAAAAGGGCTTCAAGCTCCTTCGAGCGAAGGACGTCGTGCGGGGCACGATAGCAGACCGACGAGGGACGCAGCAGCCAGTGTAGCCAACTCTCCGTGTGCAGAAATTCGGCAGGGTTCGTGCCAAAGTGCACGCCTGGCCCCTTTTCTTTCATGAGAAGCAGCAGCGCTTGAACGCGGCTGTACAAAATTGGCGAGGGCGCCAGCACGCGCATGCATGGCATCACCACACGAATCAGATACCGTTCCGCCAATCCCAGCGCGCTGCGAGACGCCACGGCGTAGTCCGTTTCTTCCGCCTGCTCCTGCCCACGCACGAGCTGCAGGAGCCGCGCGCACTCGCGGGTGATGGTCTCCACCACAGCGCAAAGAAACTCTTGGGAGGCGACGTAGGCGCAGATAGTTGACAATAGTGGAAAGTACGCTTCAAGGGCCCGCAGCGGGGCCGAAAATGCATATCGCCTGCACGTGCTCGCGCCATTGCTTCCATCCACCTCGCTGTCCTCCTCCTTGCCGCGAAGCACCGCTTGAACCCGCTGCAAAACATTTCTAGTAATGCTGCCTACGCCTGGCATGGCGGCAGACGGAGCCAGACAGACGTTGACGCCCATCTCGGCCTGCAGCTGCGTGATGGTCTCCGCCATGAGTCCCGGAAGCCCCATCTCACACAACTCCAACACAAAGCGGCAGGGGGTCAAACTCTGTGCGGAGGCCGCCTGCCTCGCAAAGGCGCCTGCCGCACCCGCAGGTGTTCTGCTTGAAGACGTCGATGCAGCTGCCGTTGCTGCCGGCGTCTTCGTGGCTCCTGTGGGTCCCGCCTCTGCGAGATACGGTCCCCATTTTGGGCAGGGGACGGGGAACACCATCTTTGAGAAGCGCGGCCCCGTCAACTCCCCGTGCACTGGAATGCGTCCCTCCTCCTCCTTCGCGTGCTCGGTGCTCACCGCAGCCGCACTGTTGCGCTGGCGCCGACGCGCGCCGCCTGCCTCCACAGCAGCAAAAATCAGCTCACTGTACGCCGCCTGCACGTGCTCGTCGACGGCCGCCGTAAGAGCGGCGAGGTCCTCGCCAGGGAACACCGTCGCTGCGGCCTCCGACGTGCTCTGCGGGAGCTGCGAGGTGGCGAAGTGGTAAATGGCGAGTGCAACACGCAGGCGGCAGACGCCTGTCAGGTACAAATACATGGCCAACTTCTGCCGACCCTCCGTGTGATGTGTGGGGGAAAGCCCAATGCAAAGTTGCATGCAGAAGGTGAAGAGGTGCACCCCAAGGAGGTCTCGAAGGTGTAGACGCTCGAGCAGCCTGCCGATAGGTGGAAAGTGCGTCTGACACCAGTGCGTCTCAGTCTCCCACGCCGCAGCTGGTCGTGTCAGATGCCACCGCGTTGCCTCCCCACCTCGAACCCCGCGAGTTGAGAGAATGTACGTGGAGCTCAGCACTGCCCCAATTGCGGTGCTCAACAGGAAGCTGTGCACCTGGCCCTCCCCGAGCAGCCGCCCCAGTTCATCGCTGTGCCGCCCCACGATGGCCTCCTCCGCCGCGTCATTTGCCGCATTTTCGCCGCGTGCCCCCTTTTTCAGCCTCACCCAGTCCGACATGAAGGCGTGCAGGGTGTGCAGCAGCTGGTACGTTGTCCCGGGCGCCTGCGCGACGAGGTGCGGACAAAACGACTTGCATAAAATCGCGGTGCGGCGAAACCGCGTCCTGGCGACTGTGGCGTTGAACGTCTCCGCCGACACCGCGCCCCACGCCGCCAGGGCCAGCTGCTCGGCTCTGACGTCCCCCGCACTCGCACTGCCGTCCTCTGCGTCTTGGGCACCTCCCTGCCTGGGGGCGCCTTTCATCGTCGTCGTCGACTGCTGCTGCTGCGCCGCACAGTGGCGGAAGAACTGCTGCCACGCCGCAAAGTCGCCGCCTCTCGCAGAGAGCTGTTGGAGAAACACGCAGAGAAAGCAAAACCACAAGGAGCGTGGCGCCTGCAGCTGCGCGGCCGTCTCCCCAGCCTCCGACCCGGCACTGTTATTAGCACCATTATTATTACTATTATCCCCAGCGCCATTATCTGGCTCCGCACACGCCCCGCGCAGCCGTCGCGAGAAGAAGGCGGCGGCGACGGCAATCGCGGCTGTCTTCGTCGCTGCCGGAAGCGCCGCCGCGCCCACCTCCTCCGCGGCGACGGCACTGTGGCAGTGCACCAGCGCCACAATGCGCAAGAAGAACATCTCCAGCGGCGCGGGCGTTGGGGCCGCGATGAAGGAGCTCACAGAGCGGCGGACGCATGCAAGCACCTCCGCCCCGCTCGCCCCTTCAGGGACGCCGATGATGTCGTTGAGCGCCTCCGCAAGCGCCGCCTCGAGGTCGCGCCTCCGACGCGCGTGTGCGTCGTGCCCCGCGTCGTCGTCGCAAAGCAGCGCCAGGAGCCGGTCCTCCACACGTTCCTGTGCCTGCATGTGTGTACACACAACAACGCAAGTCTATGCGGCGTGTACGCAAATGTAGTAGCAGCCCCTTCGCCGCTTCCTTCTTGAGTTACTGTTGCGCTGCGAAGACGGGCAGAGAAGCACCACCCTCCACGGAGCCGAAAACAAAAAAAATAATAGAAGGGGAAAATAGAAACGCATGCAGGACTGCGTGGAAAAAGGGAGAAGGCAACCCCCAAGGAAACCCGGCACGCAAAGGCTGACGAGCTCCATCACGCGGCGAAGAGGTGAGTGTGATGGACGACGCAGGCTAAAAACAAAAAAAAACGTATAAAAAACGCGGTAGGAAGACGCCCAGCAGCAAGGCCGTCACACAGTTGCAACTCCCCCCATCTCCACCAAAATCCTTCCGTCGTCTTTTCTACCTTCTTCGCGCCGTATCCCATGCATGCATGGGGTGGGTGGGTGGGTGGGGTTCGTTAAGCCCTTTTCCTTCGTGGCAGTTAGAAAAAAATGTAATTATGTTTCCTTTTTTTCACCGTCCTTTACTCGGGGATTCACGTTTCGTGTTAAGGTGAATCATCAGTTGCCGTAATTTATGCCGAGCCGCACGACCGGCTCCCCACCCCCGCCCACCGTCTGCTTCTCAGGGCCTACACAGCAGCCAGAGGTCACGCTATTGAAACAGTGAGTTGACCATAACCTCATGTTGGCCGCTCAGCACGTACGGCACAGGCAAGAGGAACCCCACCAACTTCGGCCGGGGCTCGTAGTTCACAGCCTTGCCTTTTGTGAGTCGATGAAACCCACGCTTGGCCGGTGCCTCGTCGGATTGCAGGCTGCGCTGAAGCTCCTGAAGCTGCTGCTCCAGCTTCGCCACCCCGCCACGCTTCACCACCTCGCGAAGAAAATCTGCATCCTCGTAGATTTCCTCGTCAATGTCTCCCTCCGCAATGTGCAGGGCCCGTGCGGCCTTTCCCTCAGCCGACTGAGACATCTGGTAGTGCTCGGGGTGACCCAAAATGGTCGCGTGGGACCGGTTTTTCTGCACCTTTGCCCGCAGCCGCGTCTTGCTCTTGAGCACGGCGTGAATTTGCTGCAGTAGCGGCTGTGCCACGGTGCGCAGCTTCACACTGTTTGGTTGCGCAAGCTTGGCTCCCCAGTACTCGACGCAGGCGTCAACGTTTCGCATCATGCGTCGGTGAGAGGCATTGACGTCTTTGAAGCTCAACGAGGCGCCATCCCCCGCCTTCACCTCCTTGTCGTCTGTCGCGAGCAGGTAAAAGACACCAAGGAGGTCGTTGAGGTAGTCGGTCACCATCTCGATGCTATGCTTTACTTCTGCCTCACCGGACTGCAGGAAGTCAGGGAGGGCGTAGTACTGCGGGAGCGCCAGCGCCCGCGAAACGCAGGGCTGCATCTTGATGCGCACGCGAAGCAGCTGCGAGTAAACCATCACGTAGTGCCTCACCGCGGCCTGTGCACGCTGGCGCTGCCTCGCCCGCAGATCCTCGACGTCGTCCTCCTGTGTCTCCTTTGCCACTAGTTCCATCTGTGCGTTTCGCAACGACTCGAGCTGCTCAAGAATGCCATCCTCATCCCCGCCGGCGGCGTCGCGGCGGCGCCCCGCCCGCTTCTTCCTTTGCTGCGCCTCAAGCCAGGCGATGTAGGCCTCCTCCGTCTCTGGTTTGCCACCCGCACGCTTCCGCTTCTTCCCACGAGCCTTCTCAGCCGCAGCTTCGGCCGCCGCCGATGAATCGCCATCCTCGTGGATTTCATCGCCCCCCGAGCCGTGCGTGTATGAGCCCAAAAAGTTCGTCTCGTCTTCGTCCGCGTCGTTCATCTCGAGTGCGCCAAATATGTCATCCATCGCGGCCTCCACGTCCACCGGTGTGGCGGCGTACTCGCCCGTCGACAGGGAGGCGTCCAGCGGGCCGCGGCGTCGCAGCTGCCGTTGCTTTGGCTCCCGCGGGCGCTCGGTTCGGCCCCGCTTCGCCGCCGACTCCACCGCCTCCTCGTCGTCGTCGTAGTCGCCCTCCTCGTGGTAGTCGTCAATTTTGGGGGCGTCGCCGCCAAAGTCGTCCCATGCCTCCTCCCCGCGCCGCCCCGCGCCGCCGTTGCCTAACTGTTCGTTCAGGACCTCGCTCAGGGACTTCTTTTTCCTCCGCCCCGAGAGGCCCCGCGACGATGACATGGCCTACACACACACACACACACGCTCTGCTTTTTCTTTTTGTTTTCTTTTAGTTTGTGGCTGTTGTTTGCCTTGAAATGCGGCTCACTCCCCGCAATCGGCAAAGAGCAAAAAAGCGACGGAAAAAGAGGACACTCACCACACGGCGAGGGATGTACTGCGGCGGCTCCACCGCACACCACGATGTGATTCAGCGAACATCTCAATGCTTTTTTTCCGCCTTTAAACTTTTTTTTTTCCGCGGCGGTTTTGCCTTCTCCCCTCTCCTCCCTCGGCTTCCGCCTGTTAAACGCCCAATTCGAGAAGTTCCTCCTCCAGCGTCGTTGCCCGTCCGCCACGCCGTTTCATTCCGCCCTTTGCGTCCTCTTGCCGCTGCGGTGCCCGCGTCACGAACCCCGCCCCGTCCCCGTCCCCGGCTCCAGACGCGTCGCTGCCGCCGTCGCCGCTGCGCGGCTGCTGGGGCGCGGAGGCCGCCGCGCCCTCGCGCTTCAGTGTCGCCCGCAAGGCACACTTCGCCGGCGTGTACTTCTCCCGCATGCGCCGGGTATCCGGCAGCTGCCGAAGCCGCACCGGCACCGTCGTCAGCGCGCCGCGTTCCCGCAGCTCCTTGTAGAGGTAGAGGCGACGGTTGTTGAGGCTGTAACGCCTGCCCTCCCTGTCGGCCAGGACGCAGAGCAGCGGCAGGTCGTGGGGGGTTAGCTCATGGCGTAGAAACTGGTCGAGGGTGCTGGCAATTGTGCGACCGCAGGAAAAGGTGGGACGAATACGCGAAAACGTAAAGTAGACGGTCGCGGGGTCCACTTCCGCAATCACGTCATCCTTCACTTTCGCCGGCATCCACACGCCGCTAGCGCAGTGAGCGAGTTACTGGAGATTTCCCACTGCCGTCAGTAGAGCTCTAAAAGTATATATATTTCTGTAATGCGTGTTCCTCCACCTATCTGTCTATTGCTTGTACGCACAGCTGCTACTGAGCATCGGCGGAGAGGCTAAGGTGCGTGTCGACACCCAGGCGCACTCCAGCTCCCCGTTTTTGTTTCCTCCTCCACTCACTTGGGGTTCCCTGTCACTTTTTAACGGACACCAATCACCAAGTGCATGCGTGCACAGACACGTGCAATGGCGGCATCGCACAGATCACCCAAGACACATCAAGGATAGAGAAGGCAGAAGCCAAGGGAAAACATTGGAGGGGAATGAAAGAAAAAAAAACACATTATCATGCGAGAGGCAGGGCCACACACACACACAAAATATCACGGCGTGCCCAAAATGCCTGCGCGGGGCCTCCCCAAAGGTGCATAAAAGTGTGAAAAGATCCGTGTGTGGCCGCTTCGGTGCATGGCCTCATCACGTTCGGGCACGCGTTCCCAGGCGCCAGTGCGTGTGCACGTTGCGTCGTCGTCGGCTCACCCCCGTCCCGCGGAGGAGGCTCGTGGCGGAAGAACGGCTCGGGAGGCGAAGTATGGGTTCTCGCGGTGCCACTTGGCCTGCGCCTGCATCCGCACTTCCTGTGACGCCCCCGCAGCGTCCTCGCCGCCACTACTGCCGCCCGCCGGAGTGGCCTCTGCCGCCACCTCCACCACCTCCTCCTCCTCCGCCACCTCCGCCACCACCTTTGCGGCAGCGGCGGCCTCGTCGCGTCCTGTTGCGCCGCCGGTCGCATCTGTGCCATGCGCCTCCCTTGACGCCTGCGGCTCCTGCGTCGTCCCTGCCGGAGCGGGCAGGAAGGCAAACTCACCAAAGTGCAGATTTTTATCCGTCACCACCCCCGCGGAGGGCGTCTTCGTGCCCGGCGGTACGTAAACCGAGGCCGCAAAGAGGCAGCTGCGCTCGCCTCTCACCGTCGCGTTCTCCGGCGCCAGCGTGGGCGTGGCATGCAGCGGTGGGTACATCGCCGCTGCCGCCATCTGCAGCTGCTCTGTGTAGCCCCTGCAACGCCCCGCATCTTCGCTCGCCGACACAACAACAGTCAGAGCCCTACGGCTCGCATGCAGGTCCGCGACCGCGGCAGCAGACATGGGCGAGGGAAAAAGGTTGTAGCAGGCGTCGCGGAAGTACACCTCCTCCAAGTCCAGCGCCCGCCCTGCCGCCGCGGCATGCATGCCATCGATAGCTGACGCCGTTGCCTCGGCTGCGTCGACGTCATCGGCGTCCGCCGCGTCCTGCAGGTCCAGCGACAGTGAGGGCACCATCTGCCGCTTGAGTGACTGGAACTGCACATCACGGCGCCGTCGCACGTTCATGGTGCCCGCGCGACGATCGTCCAAGAGCCCCAACGCGGCGAAGCTATCAATGAAGCGCACAAAGACGTCGGTGCGGGTGTGTGCGCAAACGGTTTCCTCAGGAATTTCCCCCACCAAACGTAGCTGTCGCAGAGGATGTGGGACAATGTCCGGCGTCGGCGTCGGCACCGCAAAGAGGGATGGGAGTGCAGGGAGCTGGCGAACCTCGCCCACACCAATAACATTTGTCGTGGAGGACCGCCCCTTACGCGCAGCCCCGGCACGATCCTTTGTTTTCCGCACAGGCGGGTGCGCCTGGCCCCAAATTCGCTCCGCCGCAATCTCCTTCGCGAGAGGGATCGCCGAGCCGCTCAGCTCTTGGACGTACGAGAGTACAATCAGGTCGTAGATTTCCGTCAGGCAGTGCTGCACCACAGCCGAGACCCGCGCCTCCCCCACCCCGTTGATCTCCACAAAACAGGCGGAGTCGTAGAGTTGCGGTTCCAGGCCCCAAAGTGTGACGTGCAGCTCACCAATGACGGCTTCCACCACATCCGCCTTTATCTTCCCCGTGCCTAACTTCTCGCGGACGCCGGGCGGCAAGAGGTCACTGATGCGAAGGGTATCAAAGATAAACTCCAGCGTCACATTCATCTCACAGGCGTCGCGAAAACAGTTAAAGGAGTATACGTTCTGGCTGTAGGTCCACTGCTTATCGGGGAAGAGCATCATCATTCGATTGGAGAGGTGGTTTCCCCACGAATTGTCGCCAATGTACTCCAGTCGCTCAAACGCCACACGCCGACGGTGGTGCATCTGCTGCGAGGCATTGTCAAAGGTGTCCGGGGCCTGAGCGGCGAGGGAGAGGTCAAGCACGTCCATGGCTTTGAGCGTTCCCAGCAGCTTGCCCAGGACCTCGCTGCGCTGGTCCACGCTCCAGCGCGGCGAGACAAGCTCCGGGATGCGCTGGAACATGGGCTCGCGGTAAAGCACGTCGGACCAGACGAGGTAGATGTCGTCGATGGGGTAGCCCCGTATAGCCAACAGCGCCAAAGTATCCAACACCACCTCACGACAGGTGTGATTGGTGTGGCTCGCGCGGTAGGCCGTCACTATGTGCGCCTTGGGCGTTGTCTGTGACTCCTCCATGCAGAGGCGGCAGTAGTTCTTCGCCTCCTCCTTGAAGAAGAGGGCCTCGGCGGCCGCCACGGAGCGCAAGGAGCGCAGTGGCTGCGCCCCGTTCTCCTTCGTTGCCGCCGGCGCCGTCGTGTCATCGGCGAGGAAACTCACGTAGTTGGCAAGCACATCCCCAGTGCCGGCAGCAGCCGACGACGACGATGCCGCCGCGGAGGCGCCACTGTTGCCGCTCCCAACAGAAGACGTGAAACCAATCGGGACGCCCCGGCGGGTGGAGGACTGCGAGTGCGCCACCTCCACTCGCTCGAGTGCCAAACGACGCGAGGAGGTGCTAAAGTGCCGGCGCAGCCGCTGCGTCGCCCGCCACCCGCCCCACAGCGCCCCCCAAAGGTGCGCACCCGCGCCACCTACCCGCATTTCCCCGTCTCCGCCGCTTCCCGTGTGTGCGGGGCCAACTACAGACAAACAACAACAACAACAACAGAAAAGAGAGAGGGAGAGGAAGAGAATGAAAGTGGTCGGAGACACACCCTTTCCTCCTTTCCTTCGCTACTTCCTTATACTTCTCGGTTGCGGGTCGTGCATGTGGAAAATGCATGGAGGAAGGAGGGGAAAAAGAGAAGACATGGACGCGGAGGACATACCCCCGACCCACGGGGAGGACGCGTAGATGCGTATTTGCCCAAACGGGGCCTCCATGTGGCCCCAATTGGGGACGCAGCATAAATGCAGCCTCAAGGCCCTCCCCATCTTCGCCTCACGGCAGCAGCGACGGCCGCCGCCCACGCAGAAGCAAGCGAACCAACGGCGAGACAACCGACAACCACGGCGACAACACGCCCAGCACCGCGGGCGCTCAGTCGTCATCACTATCGGCAAAAAAGGCATTCACGTCCTCCACAGATTCCTCGGCTCTTTTTTCCCCCGCCAGTTCATCCTTTTCTTCCGCATCTTCGTCCCCTGCCTCCTCCGCTTCCGCTTCCTCCCCCTTCAACGCCGTCGCATCGGCAGTCACCGGCACCACTGCGGCGCCCGCGGCCAGAGCGCTAGAAGAAATCGCCAACACGCCGTCGGCGTCGTAGACTTCGCCACCCTTCGCGTCGTGGTGCGCTTCCGCGTCGTGGTGGTCCTTCACCGCCAGTCCGCGGTACAACTCGTTGAACTTGAAGAAGACATCGGCGCGATTCTCGAGCCTTGGCACAAACGACGTCGAAAACGGGTACGGCAGGTCCAGCGGACGCGGACGCAGCGACATGCAGTAGGTGCAGCGCACAACTGCCTGCCGCTCCTTCGTGTTGAGGTCCACCTTCACGCTGTTCCGCAGACGACACACGGGGCAGTCAAAGGTGGTCAGGCACTGCAGCGAGCGCGACTGTTTCGCGGCCGCGGCAAACTGCTGGTGCCGCTTCCTGTCGTCGCTTTCCTTCTTGGCGCCCTTCTGCAGCTTTTTCTGCAGGAACGCATGACTGTGGCGCGACAGGAGCGGCGTCGTCGATGAATCTCCGCCGCCGCCGCCGCTGCCGCTCTCGCACCCTGTTGTCGGCATCTACGCGTGCACTCCTCTCTCTCTCCCCCTCCCAAAGAAAAAAAAAACAACAAAAAAATCCCAATCAACTGTGCACAAAGACGGGTTTTGCCGGCAACACTTCCCCTCCTCCGCCGCGCCGCTTTTCGTCGCTTGGCGGCAACACACAAACACACACACACACACACACACAGGCTGAAGGAGAGTGGCCGATCGGCCCCACGCAATACAGCTGCAGCCACGGCAACACCGCACAACAAAATCAAAGGGTGGGAGGCAGTGGACGACAAAAAAGCAACTCGCCAGCCTCCCATTACCGTAAGGCAGAGAGAGGCTGCAGCAGGGCACACAAGCTCGCTAACCCGGGGCCCAGTGGAGGGGTCCTCCTCGAAATTCCTCCAGACACACACACACACACACATCCGAACAGCAACCGCGACTTCAATGCGGCAGCCGTTGTCCTAAAATCGGGGATGCGCAATACGCACCTCCGTGCCTGTGGTCTTCCGCCTTGTCGACAGGACGCCGCTCAGCGCCCCAAGGTTTCCCAGAGGAGGAAAAAGATAAGAAAACATCCCAACAAACCACCGAAGGAACTACTGGTGTGTGCGTGTGTGTGTGTATGTGCGTGTGTCTACAATAGTGAGGGGAAAAAAGTGGTAAACAAGAAACAGCAACAAAAAAAACTGGAAATAATACGCCGAGTGATTTCCTCGTTTTTTTCCTCTTCATTCTTGTTTCTTGCTCCATGTTCAGGAGGTCCCCTTCGGTATAAATTTCGTCAGAGTCACCAGACAGCAGTACGCACGGAGGAGCAAAATAAAAAAAAAAGAACACCGGCAGCCAACAGAACGAGGCATCATCAAAACCTGCCGCCGTGCCTTTTTTTTCCCCCACCTTTTCTGCTCTTCATCATGTTGTTGTTGTTGTTGTTGTGGGCGTGTTTACAACGCAACCCCGTCTTCCTCCTCCCCGTACTCCGCCGACGCCCCGGCCGGCGCGAAGAAGTGCGAGCCGTTGTCCTCGTCCTCGTCCTCGAACTCGATGCGGTGCATGGCGGGCACGCCCCCGCCGCGCGGCGCCGACGCCGCCTCCGTCACGGCCGTCGTGCCTGTTGCCTCCCGCCGCGTGAGCTGCGCGAGGCCCGTTTTCGCCGCCGTCGTGTCGGTCTCGATGTTGTGCTCCCGCAGGAACTCGCGGTCCTGCTGCAGGAGCTCCTCGCGAAAGCGGAAGAAGACATCCACAGGTTTCTCAAGCGGGAGAAACGGAAACTCCTTTCCGGCCCCGGCGCGGCAGGAGCGGCAGTGCAGTCTGGCAGACCCGGTGCTCCGCACGAGCCGCACGGCAATGGAGTTCTTCGCATCGCAGAGCGGGCAATCAAACCGCGCCGGTATTTTGTACTTGCTCTCCTTCTTAATGGGGACGCTGGCCTTCTTCTTCGTCCCTCCCATTGGTCTAGCGAGGCACCACGAGGCGAGCTACACGCGCAACTACGAATACCGCGTCCAGCGATGACAGCAGGCGCACACACGCACACGCACACACTTAACCCACACGCCGCTTATCCTCACGGGATCCCAACGCAATTCCTCTGCAGCGGCGTGTGCGTGCGTGCGGGCACGGGGCAGGAAAGCGCAGAATGCAGAGGAGGACAAGAAGAACAGAGAGAAAAGGCAGACGGGAACCAAAACAACAACAACAGCAACCAACTAATAATAATAATAGTGACTCCTAAGAGATCAGGAGATAGTTAATATGCGTGTGAATTCTGTGCCAAGCATTCGTGTGATTGGATGCAATGGCCGCAATCTGCGGAACAGTGAGGCACATTTTTGGTTCCTTCTCTTTCGACTCTTTTTTTTTTTTTGCTTTTTGCCACCGCGCGTTGCTTCTGCTTACAACTGTCTATTATTAGCATTATTATTTTCTTCTTTTTTGTTTTTGTTTCATGTGGTCACGGTTATTTTCGCCTTATTCGCAGTGTGGACGACAAACGACAGTTCCCCACTGCCACCGTCAGCGGCAGCGGACAGGGGCCGCCGCAGTGTGTCATTGATGCACCAACGACGACGACGCAGCGGATGCAACGCGATGTGCCCATTGGCTGCCTCCTGCGACGCGTTACTCACTCATTGGCTTGCGTTCCTTTTCCTTTTTCTTCACGGGCGGCGCATGCTGCGCCGCGCCGCCGCCCGCTGCAAGTGGCCGTTTTCTCGCCACCTTCTCTTTCTGGTTGCTCTCAAGCGCCGACGACCAGTGCGTCGCCAGGCGTGCCTGCGTCGCCTTTAGATGGGCGTCCGCCTCCTCCACCAGAAGGCGCGCCTTGTCTTTGGTGGCCGGCTCAGCGCCGCCGCTGCCGCTGCTGGTGGCGGCGGTGGTGGCCGTCGTCGGCGCCACAGGATTGGGGTGGTCAAACATGAAGAAGTGTCGCTCGTACAGCACAGGCTGACTACGCGACACGGCAGAGCTGAGCGCCTTAAACACGGCGACCTCGCCATCGCTTTGCGTTCCACTGGGGCCGTTCTTCTGCAGTAGAAGATGCAGGTGCCCCGCCCGCATCGCCCGCGCTGTGCGGCCGGCGCGGTGGACGTACTGCGCGAGCGTCTCGGGCGGGCTGTACATAACGACGTGGCCGACGTTAGGCACGTCCACGCCACGCATCAGGGCGTCGGAGGCGACGATGCATGCATCGGGGGCCGACTTCAGCAGTGCACGCCGCCGCTCACTCTCGGTGGACAGCGTCGTAAACTCGGTCGCCTGCACGCCGGCGGAGAGGAGAAAATGACCCATGACCCGCGCTTCCTCTGCCGTGCGACAAAAGACGAGGATGCGCCTACCGGCGTCGTCGTCGCAGGAGGGGTAGTCGCTGGGCGAGTCGGTGGTGACGGTCGGCTGCCCCGCACGTCGTCCACGATGACGTCGATATCCGAGTGCACGGAACTCCGCCTCGTTCTCCGCCTCCGCCTCCTCTTCCTTCAGGTTGTCATCGTCTTCTTGAGGCGTGGCAGGCGCACCATCGGCGCCGCCCTGCACGGCATCGTTGTGCTTCGCCTCGTCATTAGCGCCCGACGAGGCGGCAGCCGAAGCTGACGCCGCCGCCGCCGCCGCTGGTGTGCGGCCAGCACGCTGCTTTGCAATAATCGCCCGGACAAGCTTCAGCAAAACGGCATGGCGGTACCAGTCCTCCACGAACACCACGTGCTCCTGCAGCTTTGGGGGAAGGGCGAAGGAGGTACGCACCAGCTGCTGGCGGGAAATGGGCAGGGCCGCCGCGGGGTCCGCCGCCTCGTCGTCGTCCTTTGTTTGCCCCTTCGCCCCGTCTTGGGGGCCGCGCCGCTTCTTCCCATGCGGCGCCTGCGCCTGATTCGAGAGTTGCAGCGGCTCGCCCTCGTCCTCGCGGTGAATGCCACGGCCGAAGCTGTCGAGGGCAAAGTGGCGACAGTTCCGCAGCCGCACCTCCGAGATGCGGGCGATGTGCGAGGAGAGGGTTGCGGAGCAAAGCATCTTGTGCAGGTTGTACGTCAAGTGCACCAGACGCCGCGTGCCGCCCGCATCCCCTAACCGCGCCAGCTGCTCCTCCTCAAAGCGCTCCACCACTTTGGCAACAAAGTTGGCAAAGTTGCCCGCCAGCACCTGGTCCGCCTCATCAATGACGAGGAGCCGGAGGTCGGCAAGCGAGAGCCCTGGCGTACCGTCCAGGTGGCGCAGCAGCCGCTGTGGCGTCGCGACTAGAATATCCACACGGGAGTAGTAAAGCAACCGTGACGCTCCCCGTGCCACGCCGTCAGTACTTGCCGCCTGAGACGCAACATGACGGTCATGCGCATTCCGCAGTTCCCCCCCGGGCTCCGGTTTTTCCGCATCACTTGCGCAAGCGGCGCTGGTGACAACGGCGGCGGTGCGGACGATGGATTCCGCCTCCTCCCGCACACTGCTTTCCGCCTTGCAGAGGGACTCCACGGCGATGGAGGTGCCACGGGTGAGCTGTTGCAGCTCGCGAAACACCTGTGTGCCAAGAACCTTTGTGGGCACCAGCACCAGGGCCCGGAGGCGTGTGTGGTCCACGCCGCGCTTACACTCCGTCACTAGCCGAAGCATGGGCAGCAGATAACAGAGCGTTTTGCCACTGCCGGTGGGAGCAGTGAGGCAAAAATCCATGGGAATCCCGCTCAGCAGTGCACGCTGAACCGCCGGAACCACCGCCTGCTGCACCGGCAACGGCTTCGCGTAGTGCAGCTGCTGCTGCAGTGGCTTGAGCAGCCAGGCGTCGCTCCCCCAAGGCATTCATCCCACGCAGCTGCCATGGCCAAGGCAGACCGCGTCCTAACACCCCCTCTCCTCCCGGCGTCTGCAGGCAACAAACAGTCAGGGAACCCTCAGCAAAGCAACACACAAAGCAGAAAGGAAAGCGCGAAAACGGGGGGCGCCAAAGACCACTTTACTTCCCCTCCCCCTCCCGACGCCCACCTCTCCTCTCTCGCTCGCTCGCTCGCTCGCGGTGCAGTCCCTTCTCCCTTTGGGTTGCCGCTGTTGTTGCCCTGTCTGCCCTGCCACCGGCAAACACACCACACCCTATGGCGCAGACGCAAGCCAGTGCACAGATCATGAAGGGAGAAGAATGAAGAGAGACAGTAAAGCAAAATAAAGTAAGACACACACACACACACACACAGTTTCCCACAATAAATCACACACCACACAGTTCAACCGTTTCCTCTCTCCCCTGCAATTGTCCTCCACTTCGCTCTTTATGACGTTCAATATGATGACTTCCTCTCAGTGTCCAATGCGGCACACACACACACACACACACACATATAAATATATACATATGTGCTCAGACTCGGAATCAAGAAAAGAGAAATAAAGAAGTGGCGCGTGCGCGTCTGTGCGGTGACAAACACCCTTCACTCCACTTTATCGCCTCGTTCTTGCCATCTTCTCGCCTTTTTTTTTTGCGTTTGCTATCGTCTTTCCTTCTCGCCGAGGTGCACGACTACACGTGGGCAAAGTGGTACTCATCGGCCACCTTTTCAAAGACGAAAAGCTGCTTCTCCGCCGCAGACCGCAGCAAACTCCGTCGGCACCCCCCATCCGTCCCAACCGGCCGCTTCACGGCCAGAAAGTGCAGCTGTTGCCGCGCCAGACGCACCGCCTGCGCCAAGTCGCTGTTGCCGCCCAGTTTTGTGTACAGCGGGCTGTTAAAGAAGTCCCGCATGAGCGCGCGTTCTGTGATGACCTTCTCCGTAGCCGCCTCTTGCACGGTCAGCAGGGCGGCGACTTTGCCCATCGCCGCAGTTGCTTTTTTCGTGAGCAGCACGCCGTCAAACGTCACCGCGGCGATGGGCAGCTTGCGTGAAAACACGGGCACGTCGCGCTCTGGCGGTGCAATGTGTTCCGCAAAGAAATCACACACTGCCTGCCGTTCGGCACAGCCGTTTGAGAGACGGTGCGTCAGCCCCTGTGGGTCCCTGCGGTCTTCGATAGTGAAGGGGGAGTTGGCGCTCGCACATATCCCCTGCATTGCCGCAAGCGCCTCGACGTCGGTGCAGAGCAGTGGGAGGAGCTTGTAATGAAAGTGCGGCTGATGAATCGCCTTGAGCTGCGCAAAGTCCGACACAATGACGTCGCGTGGCAGCCGCGGCGATGAGGGGGGGCTGGCAGACATGTGCGTCATGAGCACAATGCGCCGGAGCTTGTAGCCGCTGAAGACCTCATCAAAGATGTTTTCGCGAGTGACGTCGCCGGAGACCTGATGGATGAGCAGCGGAATCATCTGCTTGTGCCGCTTCTTAATGAGCGAGGCGTACACGTCGCGCTGCATTTTATTTTGTTTGTTTTTGTCCCCTCCCCCTCACAAACCCGCCACCAACCCTCCCCGCCCACCAGCCCTTGCGTGCGTGGCGGCAAGAGACAAAGAAAGAAAGAAAGAGAGGGAGAAAGACAAATAGAGAGCGGAAGAGCAGGATGCACGACACACGCACGGCACAGGCGCCCTCCACGGCGAAGAGAGTTAGAATAACAGTGCAAATAATGGGAGACGTCTGTAAAACGGCTCTGCACGCCCGCTTCGTCCCTTCTCTCCCTCGCTCCGCCCGGCACACGCGGGGAACCACTGAGGCATGTCAGAGAGTCAAGGCAGAATGAGAAAGATGCATGCGGCGCGTGTGTAGGCTTAGACAAAAACAGCAAAAACAAAAACAACAACAACAACAACAACGACAGAGAAGAGGAGGAGGGCGAGGCATTGCGGCGAGGAGGAATAGTGCAAATGTGCATGCAGGTGCGCGCGTGGGTGCTGGCCCACAGGCACGGGGGCACACCACCGTCACCGCATTCTCTATGGAAGTACCCGAAGAGGGCAACAACAACAAAAACAACAAAAAGGAGGGCAAACCCCAACAAAGACGCGAAGAGCAAAAAACACAGTGCCACATCAGCACATTTTAATATAAATAATATAAGTAACAATAATAGCAATAACAATAGACCGCCAAAACAGATGCACGCCCCATCCATGCTTTTGTTTTTGTTTCGTTGCTCTCCCCCTCTCTAGTGCGTGCGAGCCTCCTCACAACTTGCCTTTTAGCTAGCCACTCTCTCGTTCTCTCTTCCTTTTTCTATCGCTCTCCCTCTACGCAGGGACACCCAGCTACACGGAGAGGTGCATAGAAGGACGTGTATCACGTGGATGCACTGCACACAGAAACACATAGGGTGAAAGACCCACACGCCCGTGCTCTACGTGTGCGTGTCAGGGCCCAGCTCTACCACCGCCGCTACTCCCTCCACTCCGACGGCGAAAGCAGCAGCAAGACCAAGCAGGAAGGAAAAAAGTGGTAAGTCACAGAAAAAGCGTGGAAATACGTGGCCCTCGCCTCCCTCACTTTCTCACACACACATACACACAATTATTCCTGTTATCCTCCTTCCCCCGCTACATGCAGCGTCATAGCGGCAAGCATTCCTAGCAAGCACAGGAAAAGCGCAACACGTTCAACTTCTCGTTTCTTCCCACTTCATTACTTGGAAACATTATCGTAGCCGCGCATGGATGGCAGCAGACTACGACGCATCCCACCACTACGGAAGATGTGCTGATGCAGCAGCGCCACACTGATGGCCCGTGGTCGGCTCGTGAATAACTTCTGCCGTTTCTTCGCCAGGTGCCTCTTATACGTTGCCTGCTGATCCGCCCGAAGACTGTGCCACGACTTGGCCCTATTTTCAATCACTGGCCCATCAAGATCCACCGTTTCGGGGCTGTTCACATCGCTCTTTGTGAGTTCGCGCAGAAGCATGCCCGGGTAGACGCTAGACGGAAGCTCAAAGGATAACTCAAGGCTGCCCTCATCCTTTTTGGAAAGCCAATACGGTGCAGGGGGCGCACTACGCCGCCGTCGCAGGGTACCGTCACTACTCGTGTCGCCCAAAGGTGTGTGTCCAAGGAGCAACTGCTGCTGCTGGGGCTGGCGGGAATGACGAACGCCGTCCTCGGTGGCAGAGAGGATGTCTCTATGGGGCAGTGCGAAGGCCTGTCGCACGCCGAGCGCCCAACGCTGCTGCGGGCCCGCGGAACGGTCTAGCTGCATTTGCCACCGCAGCGTCGGCGACGGGTTGATTAATAAATGGCGGTAAAAGCCAAATACGCTAACGCCTAGTGGATTGCCAGGCACCTCCCCTTGACGCAAATCCGGCCTCAGCTGGCTGGCATCTGCGGCGGCCGCGAACTCCGCATACTCCCCGGCGGCGTCTGTGTCACAGCCATCGATGGGCTCGACGATGGTCGTGCTGTTGCCTAGTTCCTCCTCCATCAGCGCGAAGGCGGAGGAGAAGCGGTGGTACGGCGAGGACGTCCCCGCCCCCCGCTGAGCTGCGCCCTCGCCAGTGAAGCCACGCCGGGGGCGAAAAATGTCCCACTGCTTCGTTTCCGGGTTAAACAAAATGCCCATCCGCTGCAGGGCAACAATGTAGAGGTCCGTGGTGTGGTTCTCCGGCAGCTGGATGCCCACGCCAGGGAGCGGCAGCACCACATCCGCAAAGGTGTACTTGCCCTTGTCTATGCCGCTCCTGGAGGCAAAGACGACGTTTTTGTACTCCTTTGAGTGCGGCGAGGCCAGAGGGTTTCGACGCACAAGGTCGCCGGGGAGAATGGCAAACGTCCCGTACCGCTGCAGGCGTTGGTTGACAATATCGTTCCAGACAAATGCGAGAAACTCATGCACCAGCATCAGGGATGCGGTGGGGCCGACCACGCGCAGAAAGGCCTCCTCGCAGGGGTCTATCGACGAGGCCTTTTCCTCGTCGTCGCCAAGCAGCGCGGCAGCCTGCAGTGCGTTGTCAAGAATTGACTGCAGCGCGGTTCCGTGCTCCGCGATTGAGCGTCGGGCGGTGCCCAAACTCATGGGATCGGGTAGTCGAACTCCCATCGCCTTTGAGTGGTACATTTTCGCAAACTCCGTCCCGGTACGTCGCTTCTCGGCCGCGTGATAGGAATCCATGTAAAACTGCTGCACGATAATGCTTGCGGCGGCACGAAACTCCCCTTTAAGAAGATGCAGCCCCGGATGCATATTTTGCTTCGTGTACGAGGCGAAACGCTGCGGGCCAAAGTAGTTGATAAAACCCTTTTCCTCCAGTGAGCGTATGGCAGGCTGCACGAGCGGGAGGTGATTCTGCGGTATGCGTCGTAGCTTCACACGGTAGGCGTAGCCGTCATTGTCGCCGACACGAAAGTCGCAGGAGGCGCTCTCCACCTCCATGTCCAGACAGAGAAACTCAAACAACTTCTCTGGGCTCAGCGTAGCGACAACTTGCTCAAGCGTCACGGAGGCCGCGCGTTTCGCCTTGGGTTTCTTTTTTCTTGCCTTTTTGCCGCGGGCGGCGGTGTCCTCGGCGTATTCCGCGGCATCGCTGCCTGCCGTCCCCACCGCCTCGCTCTCCTCGTGCGAGGGCTGCTTGCTGTTGCGTGACTGACTCATCGCAAGAAGTCGCTCCTTCAGCGGGGAGGACCACCCCTTCGGGTTCGCAACCTCCGCAGGGCCGACGCGGTCGTGAAAGACCAGCCGAATGTCGGACAACCGGTAGTAGTGGTTGCTCCAAAACTCGCGTTCGTCCTTGTCCACGACCAGGCCCTGCAGCGGGCGGAGGGTTTGGTAGCGGTGAAAGCGACCACTCGCCGTACGCTGAACCGCGTAGCTGGATGGCACACGATGCCCCAGCAGCTGCCGCTCCAGCGCGTGCGCAGGGTTGGCGTGGTGGGTGGGGGAGAAGGAAAGATTTGGCGGGAGCAGCAGGGAGGCGTCACCGCCCCCAGCCGTGGCAGGAGAGAAGTTGGGGTTGGCGCCGTACATCGGGCCTGGCCCGTCACCGTCTGTGAAATGCGCGCCTGTTTCAAGGGCGCGTGCAAGCGACTCCACGTGAGCAATGCAGCTGCCGCGAATACGAATCCGCTGGAAGCTGTGCGCCGCCGCGTCAATGACACCCGCGTGTGAGACAACGATGTTGGGCGCATACAACACCGGCCGCAACCCGCTACCACAGCCCGCGTCAGTCTGCGTCTCGGTGCCCTCCGCACCGCCGCTTACTTGGGCAACCGCAGCCCGCTGCATCTCCATCGCCTGTCGCTGAAGTTCCGTGAGGCTCTCCACGACGTCTTCCACCACTAGGCGGTGCGGCAATCCCTTTTTCTCCAGCGTGCATTCCACCACTACAAAGTCTGTCGGGACAATGACACTTTTCGCGTGCGACTTACGCGGGTTAAAGCCTTTCCATATGGAACTGTCCCCTCCCATGAGTCCCTCCACCGCGTCCCCCATGCAACGAATGGAGCCCGCGGATGGCTGCTGCTGTTGCTCCTTCTCTCCTTGCCTTATGCCTTGCGGAGGAGCCACCTTCTCCAGCGCCTTCTTGTTGGCGCGCCCCTCACAGGTCATGATGCTGCGCTGCTGCGGCGTCGCAACAGCCGTCTCCATCTGCGGCCAGACGGAGAGGTACAGGAAGTCGAGGTCGCCGTGCACGCGAAGGTCCTTGACCAAGTGACCCCAGGCGCGCCACACAAGTTGAATGGCTTCCCGCATGGCCGCGATTGTCGGTGCCTCCTCCGAGGAGACCTCCAGAACGGTCCCTGTGACGGTCGACGCCTTTGCCTTGATGAGCTGCAGCCACGGAATCTGCGTCGCCTCCCCGCTACAAAGTCCACACGCCTCCTGCTGCCCTCGACTCATGTTGAGAACAATGGAGGGGGTCGCGGGCAACGGGTCATGCTGACGCTTCATCGCGCGGCCAATAAAACGCCGCAGGGCATGTATGCCGTCCATTCCAAGCGTTTGCTGCAGTTGGTAAAGTTCGGGGGAGAAATAAACTTCTATGCTTGCCTTTGGAAAGCGACTCGTCGGCGGTGGCGGCAGCGCAGCTTCCTCTCCTAACTCCGGCTCCACATGCTTCACGATGTGGTATGGAAAATCCGTGCCAAGTTCCTCTTGCTCTATCAAGTTTCCAGCAATCCAGAGTGAAATCGAGATATGGTGCTCTTCTGCTGGAAAAATTATAAATGGGCTGCGAAAGGCCTCAAGGAGCTCTTTATCTTTTTTACCGCACACCGTTGTGGAGAGCTTGATCGTCTCTAACAGGTGCGAGGAGGAGGAGAGACTGGTATAACCCTTCTCCTTTGCCTCCTTCACGTTATCCACCAGACGATCCACAACAGAGCTTTGACGAATAGCCAACAACGTCCCACTTTCTCGCCTCTCCATGAGCTGCTGCCGTGCGTCGCCCCCAAGCGTGTTTGCCACCCGTGCAAGCTCCTGAAGCACTACCGCACGGTGTTGCTCGTACGTGTTGAAATCCGCCGTGATTTGATTTCCCACATGGTTTGGCAGCGACGGTGGCGTCATGCCTGCTGCCGTGGCCGCCGCGGCTGCTCCTTCTGAACCCACGACTTGGCCCTCCTGCGGCGGGGCCTGCTGCGCGTTCGCTGCGTCGCCGATGCTCCGTTGTGCGAGCGAGCCGCCCTCGTGCAACGAAAGCGCCGCCTCTTCGTCGTCGTCGTCTTCGCGCCAAATCTCCCGCACCACGTAGTCCTCCGGGCAGGACTTAATGTACGACTGGAAGCCCTTCACAGTCGGCTTTGTGTGGCGCACGAGGTGGCAGCGCCGCTCTGGGGGAAGCCGGTTGCGGCGACGCTGGGCGAGGGTGAGCTCGTGATAGAGGCCCTGGTTGTACCGCTCGTGCGCCAGCCGCAACGCCACGCGAGACTCCGGGCTGTCGAATTTGCTCCGTGCGTCCTCGATGCTCATGCCAAGAATGAGCCGGCGCCGCCACGAGAGCGTGGGCTTCATTTATTATATATAAATACGTATGTATACGTATATGCACGTACGTACGCTTTTGTGTTTGTTTTACACGTACCGACGCAACCGCCCGCTCCGCCCCCCCGCCACCCTTTTGCTTCCTGAGACTAAAGAGAGCAAATTGTATACACAGTGTGGAGGGGGCACGCAAAAAACAACAACAACAATAAAAGGAGGAAAAAAGAAACAGCAGCGGAAATAAAAATAGAAGACAAGCGTGTGCACCTCGCGGGGCGGGCGCCGCTGTGGGTTGGGCGGCCGCGGAGCAGCCAAAACTCAAAGCGGAGAGTTTTCCCCCCCCTTTTTTTTCTTCTTCGTTTTTGTTTCCTGCGCCTTTGCTTTTCCTCCCCCGCCACGCCGCGACGACTGGCTGCGGTGCCTCTGCGGGGCGGGGTGGGACACGCAACTCCCCTCCCCTGTCCGCCTGCCACCCCGTTTCTTTCCTTTTTTTTTTTTTCGTTCTTTGCCGACCGGGGACCGTGGCGTCCACAGACGCGTGCCGGAAAGACGCACACGCACGCACGCACTCGCAGCCACAGCGCAATTCTCAACTCCAACGACAACAACACCAACAATAACGACAAGGCAAAAAAAAAAAACTGCGACGGCAGAGGCATGTAATCGTAATGCACAAAATTGTCTCCCAGAAGGGATGTTTGAGAGAAAAAATAGACAACATGGCGTGCAATTTTACCCACCCCGCCTTTTTTTTATCCTCCCCCCCTCTCCCCTCCCGCTGATTCCATCTCCCACACGTTACGCACGCGTGCATCCGAATTCGCGCTACCTGGAAGCCTCACAGAAGTCGCGGGAGAAGCACCCTCTCCCTCTGCCCCCGCCCCCGCCCCCCCCAACCCCCTACTTCACGGTCCTTCGCCTCTATATATATATATACAAATATGTATTTCTCTTCTCACGTTTCCCCCTCTCGCTGTGCTGCTTTTGTTCTGTTTTTTTTTCCGTTTTGATGGCTATCGTGTGTCCTTGAAGCCGTAGATGTCTGCAAAGTGCACCTCCAGCCGGCTGACGGCGTCCTCCAGCCCCATCTCTTTGAAGAAGAAGTCCTTCATCTTGCCATCCGGGCCGACGAGGTAGATGGCGCAGCTGTGGTCAAACTGGTAGGTGTCGTCCAGGTACACCTCTGGAATCCCTTTTGCCTCGCGCGCCTCCCGCTCCTCGTCCGTTTCCTCGACGGAGGAGTAGTAGACGCGCCACGCGTTGGCCGCCTGCCGCACCTCCCCCGCGGTGCCACAGAGCGCCCGAAGACGGGGGTCGTACTTGGCGATGTACTTTTCCAAAACCTCTGGCGTGTCGCGGAAGGAGTCTATACTTAAAAACACCGCCTGCAGCTTTGCCACTTCCGCCGCCGTGCTGTCCGTCAGCTTGGCGTCGCAGGCCCGCATAAGCTCGGTAATAAACTGCAGCGTCGACGGGCACACCTCCGCACACTTGGAGAAGCCAAAGTAGAGCAGCGTCCAGTGGTTCTGAAACAGCTCCTGGTCGGTAACGTAGGCGCCGGTGCGGCTGTCGCGCAGCCGGAATGGCCCCCCCAGCTGCTGCTTGGGCGCCATCGCAACGGACTGCGTCGAGTGGAAGTCCGGCGCCAGCTCCGGCGGCGGCGCCTCCTCCTTCTGCCTGTCGTACCAGTTCAGCAGCGCCACGGAGAGCGGGAAGACGGAGCACCCGAGGCAGAGCCCCCAGAGCTCCGCGCGGCTGCGGGGGCCGCGCCGAAGCACGGAGAAGAACCCCCGCTCCCCCTGCGGCTCCGCGGCGGAGGAGACACGCCGGGCGAAGCCGGCTGGCCGCAGCAGACGACCCCCACGCCTCACCGCCAGCCGCATTGATGCGCCGTTACTTCCTGCCGCCTGTCTTTCTCTCTCTCTTTCTTTCTCTCTCTCACACACTCACACACACACAAACAACCTCCTGGCGGAGAGGGCAGTGAAAAAAAGGATCAGCAGCAACGACAAGAAACAGAGATAAAGCAGGTGCATGGACCAACGCCACGCCTGCGTCAGCCGTGGCCCAGTCAGAGGCGGCAGAGAGGCACGTCATTGCGAGAACACACACACACACACACACAGACAAAAAAAAAAAAACGGTTCGGCTTTTGTGAAGTGAACGACGACAATGAGGCGGCAAAGAAATAAAAGAAGGAGAACACAAAACAAAAACAAGGAACGAAACAACGACACACACGACACACAAACGCGTACAGACATCAACGAGAGGAGATAAACACACGCACATACGCCTACTGCGTCCATACATGCGAGTTACTTTGACCGCGTGGTGTTCTCTCCTTATAACATCACAACGCCAGAGAAGCAAAGACACCAACGCAATATAAG